GAGCGGGACGAGCTCCCGGGGAGGGGGGGGGGGCAGCAGCCCAGAATTACGCACGTGTGGACGCCCACACGCGTGTCGTACCCCGCCCGAGCAGCATGGGGCGCTGTCACCCCAAAGACATAGCCTCTAAGCTGGGAGAGAGGAGGAAGAGGGTCTGCCTTTTCCCAGTGGTCAGCCCCCCGACCCCCTCCCCCCAATTGTCCCAAAGGTGCTTTTTCAAGAAGCAACTGGACTTTCTGGCTTTTTTTTTCTTTGAAGACGTTTCGCTTCTCATCCAAGAAGCTTCTTCAGCTCTGACTTCCATTCCCCACAAATATATATATAGCCTTTCTTGTCATTGTACAAAATAAATACAACGAAGTTGGTTTTAGCCCACTGGTACAATCCATGACAACAAATACAAACAACATAACATATAAAGAATAAAATAGGGGAAAAGAAGAAAGAAAAAGAAAAACTATTCATACGTGTGTGGGAAGTGATTGTGGTTGTGTTTAGGAGTCGGACAGCCCAAGGATAGAAACTACTTTTAAACCAATTTGTTTGGTTGGCTATGCTTTGGCGTCTTCTGCCATCCAGTCAGAGTTGAAGAAGCTTCTTGGAGGAGAAGCGAAACGTCTTCAAAGAAAAACTAGAAAGTCCAATTGCCCCTCGAGGGGGGGGACCCCTTTGGGTTTGAAGGAGGACTGGAGGACTGAAAATCTCCAAATCTCCCCTCCTCCCATTGTCTCTAGGTCTGTAAGACCCAAGGCACAGGATAATGGGTGTGATAGTCCAATAAATATGGAAGGCTGCAAGCACAGAGACCAACGGGGGGCTTTTGCACCCAAACAAAAATAGAGGGGATTGCAGGCAGGGCTGTAACTCAACTTCCCCCAAAAGATCCTCCTGAATGGCCTACTCTTCCTCCCTCCCCGGACTATTTCTTTGCCTGGGGATAATGGGTGTTTTAATCCAAAAGCTATAGGAAATCGGATTGAGGAGTAACAAAGCCTATGTTCCTTGCACCAATACTTTGTAAAGGCCAGTGTGTCTCAAATTATGGTTCAAGGTCCCAGGGAGATCCTTGAAATCAAAATGATTTGCCAGCCTACATAATTCAATATTAAAAACCCCATGAAACATTCTTGACAAGTGGCAGTGAATGCATCAATTTAAATTTTAATATGGTAAATATTGATAAATATAAGCCATGTGAACAAAAGCTTATTTGTGATTCTCTATAATTTTTTTAATGGCTCAGTGGCTAAGATGTTGAGCTTGTCC